AAATAATAAATAATAAATAAATAATTAAAGTTCATAAATGATGTTATCATGATATAAAATTTTTAATGAATCTAAAATAGTTGAATATATTTCGATATATGAATTATCTTCAGACATATCTAAAAATTGACTATCTTTGGTTTTGATTAAAATGGTAAATCCTATTCACTGATTGAGATAGGATTTTTTGTATCGTACATTTCCAATTTCGTAAAATTTTGATTTTTGGTAAACATAAAAGTTATGTATTTCTTTTCGATAAAATAATGAAACGAATATTTTTTAGGATTAGAGATTATATTTTCTTCTTCTTCTTCTTGTTTTAATTTTATTGTATAATCAGGGTTTGCTTCATAATAATCATTATAATAATTATCTTGATTATAATTAAACCTGGGTGGTTTATAATAATATTTTTTAGATTTATAATGATACGGATACATTTTAAAGATATTTTTTATTTATATATATATTTATTTAAATATAAAAAAAATACATAAATAATAAACTAATAATTATTCTATTCGTTTAAATTATAAACTTTTGTTTCTTTACAGAAATTTTCAATTACAATTAATTCTTGATTTTTATAAAGAGGAGTTGTAATTTTTGTTCCATTATTATATGAAATTGTAAAAAATCCCGTAAATCCTCTCATGATAAAATCATTATCAATTTTCTTAAACTTACCCTCTTTGATATTAATTCTTAAGCTTTTAATATTATTTATATTTTTTGTTAAAAAACTTTTTAAATCATACAATGTTGAAAAATTTTCTTGTTTAAGTATTAATTCAAAATCTTCAAAATTAGTTTCGTTATATTTATATTCCATATCATCAATACTTTTATCAATATTACCATCAATATCTTCATCAATTTTTGGTTTCTTATTGTCAAAAATTTTGTTTTGAATAATTTTATTTTCTTTATGACTCCAATTATTAATAAAATTTTCAGATTCCTTTTTTAATAATTCAATTTCATTTTCATAAATTTCGTATTCGATATTATCAGAACCATCGGACACGATGTGATATTCATCATCGCTATTTTTTTTAAAATCATATCTATTTCTTTTTCTTTTTTTTGTATTTTTTCCTTTTTTGACCTTTTTTAATTTAGGTTTTAAATCTTCAATTTTCTCAATATCAAAATCAGAATCACCACTTGAAATCACCAAGGTGTTTAATAAATTAATTTTACGTCCACTACTTGTTTTTACAGAGATAGATTTTTCTTTGTCTTTGTATTTGTTAATCAATTTGGTTTCGAATTCTTCTTCTATACTTTTTTTTTTATGATTGTACATTTCGATATCATCAATAATTATTTTTTTAGTGATGGTGTTACTGGTTGTCTTGGTTTTCAATTCTTGTAATCGATAAGATTTGATAAAATCTTGAATTTTAGATTTATTTTTAAGATTAATTTCAATTTTTTTTTCTTCTGCTTTTTTGAAAAAACCATTCATATATTTTTAAATATAATATTCAATTATTTTATGTTCTTTTGTAAAACTTTCAGTTTTATCATCATCAATATCATAATAGTAGTATGAATTATTTTGCAAATAAAAGATAAAGATGATTTTATCTTTTTCTTGTAAAAAAGGTAATTGTTTGATTTTTTTTGAAATAGTTTTACTTTCAAAAGTTTTTTTATAAAAAACATAAATGGAGACAGGAATTGAATAATATTCTTCTTTAATTTCAGTGTAAATTAGATCATCATGAGTTGTTATTTTATAAGACTCTTTTGATTTAGATTGTAACTGTTTATATCTTAATGGATATAAACCAAATAAAATAAATTGAATAAATGGTCGAATCGAAAAGATTACATCAGAAACAGTTTGATTTGAGAACATTTTTACTAATGGTGATTGATTTTGAAATTTGTTGTGGTTATTTTTATTGTATTTAAATTATTAATTGAAAACAATATAAATAATAATTGATTTTAAAATTAATAATCAAGGAAATGTTCGTGTATATTTACAATTACATAAAGAGTTAT